GTTTCCTCGACGAGTGTTCGCGAATTGCTCATGTGTGTGTATTTTGTATTCGGAGATCCCTCGTAAGACGCATTCATCGAACATTCGTCATATTATTATGTACACATATACCGCGGGGCCGCTCCCTCCCTTTCCCACCAACCAGTGAAACATCACTCGAATTTATTATTATTATCAGATACCATATTATAATAATTTATAACGTAGCAGGTATATTATACGAAGTGATTTGCCTCACCATTCAGGTCACACCATTCGCATGCTTGAATCGCAGTACGTTATTTATTATAATTCTGATTATTTGACATTTTAAGGAAGTGGGTAGCTACGCATAAAAAGATAATATAAAGTGGGTAAGTACTAAAATAAAGTACTCAAAGATAGGATTTTCAAATACCTAGATTTGTTACGGTATTAAAAGGCCGTAAAAGTGTAAATGTTACCTATATTGCAGTAGCATTTTTTTCTGAATGTAAGCCTCTTTTTTGTCTGTGCATTATTATAGGTTTATTTATTTTTTTTTTTTTTGAAAACGGTCATGTAGGGACTTGATAAAATCAAAAAGATTTTATTATCGATATTCGATTTATCATGGAATAATGTCTACTAGTAGTATTTAATATGCATAGTGATTTTTTTTTATATACTTCAGTATTTAGACACTGCGGGAATAATATGCAGCAGATAATTCGTATGAGATTAACTTGGTCCTTAGATGTAGGTGTTTATTGTTTGATTGACAAAATAACCATAAAAACAAAAAAATGTAATACTAATTATTTAAATATAAAAAGTATGATTAGTTTAATAGAAATGACTTACGAGATATTGGAAATCGTGCATATACACCAGGTTTTGAGCATTTGTTACCATATTTATTGTTATATTTTTATTTTTACTGTTATCATCGTTGAGCCAAACATAAAAAATATTTGAGAACAAAAAACAAATAAACTGATACAGTTTAAAAATTATTGATCAACATCTTTTTTATGTTTTATGTATTGCCCATATGTACCAAGCTATACATAATAATGTTATATTCAAATATTTAATAAGCTATAAACCTTAGATCTTGGTATACATGCGTGATTCGTAGTAGAATGATTCAGGAACTATATTCGTCTAAATTTCGATTTCAATATACATCAGAATCTTCAAACGAACCATCTGTTTAAAAATTCACAAAAAAGGGAGGTTCTCATTTTGTTTTTAACCTGCAGAGAAATAGCTAGGAGGTCAAGTCTCTTCTCTCTTTGGTCGTCGTATTTGTTTTTTTAATCGAATATTATAATATTATCATAATATTATATTGAACATTTTTAGAATGTTATACTTAAGTTGCACAGATGGTAATTATAGTAAATATTTTCCTATTATAGGTAATTATTTTTTTAAACAAAACAAAAATGTTATTCAAATAAAATGTTACGTTTTTGTAAAGTCACTTTTATTCATAGATAGGTACTTAAAGATGTATATTGTACTCATTTCACTAGCATCTCAATTAGCTTAACCTTACCTAAATAGGTAGATATATTATCCAATGTCCAACATCAAAGAATGACGGCATATTTTAGTATTATTGTGTTTAATGTTCTAAACTTTGTTGATCACCAAACACATACTCGGGTATATTATTACAGATTTTAATTTTTTTTTTATATTGTTCAATAAGAAATGAAATAAAATTATGTTTTTTTTTTTTAAATAATAAATAGGACGGTTACCTTTAAAATGTTTAAATATAAAATATAACTTTCATAGAAATTGGGTGTATGACAATGACATAGCCTTTAAACCATAATTGATTGATACAATTTTAATTATTATTTTTAAAATTTAATTTAATTTAATATTATTATTAAGTGTCATCAATAGCCTGCAAACACTTCGACACAATTCAATAATTGAATAGACGCATTCACGACAACGTGGGGGTTCAATTAAGAGACACTATAATATTATATTATTTATGGACGACCGAAATAGACAAGAAAATTGAAAAAGTTGTCAGCTCGTGAGTTAAGCAAGATGGCCAACATCACTGCTGCAGTGTACAAAAAACATCCATATAATGAACAGTTAAAAAATGAAATATATTAAACGATTTCATGGATAAAATATGTCTAAGGTGAATTTAAGCAGTTCACAATCTGCTCAATTGTTTTATTTCAATTACGAAGCCGAGCGGCACTTACTAAGTAAAAATATTCGGGACGAATAATAATAATAAAAAACCATCGATTTGCGTGTCTCATCTTATTTCAGTGAGATATTGGTTTGTAACGACAACGCGTTGTCTCGTTTCATCGTCTTAGACACCAACTCGCATTAACGTCTATCAACATTACGCGTACTGGCCAGAACATACTGAAGAACGCCCCCCGAGACTTCTCGTAAAATTTAACATTATAATATAATATTATTTTTACATCTCGCTTTTATTTTTGCATTGTTCACATCGATTTAAATTTTAAGTCGTACACGGCGCTTCTGCGAAAAACGATAAATATTGCTAAGCCACCATCGCCGCAAGTCGCATCTTAATACCTACCGATATTCTTCCACCGTAAATTTTTTTTCGTCAAAATAAAAACAAATCGGGACCGTTTTGCTTCATTATTAAAATTAGAAATTTTTGGATTCACTTATTAATTTGAATAGGTACCTTACTAGTWATCATTTTATATTTACGAATGTTGCGTTCGATATATTTTTATGTGCAAGTAAACATATTATCAAATAGCATTAAATAAATTAAAATTAAAAATCATTGTGATCAAATATATTCAAATATTTGTTGTTAAAAAAAAAATAAAAAATTAATTGTAATATAAAAAAATAAATATATACCAATTTTTCAAGTATAACACGATTGGGCGTGATAATCGATTTAAAAAAAATGTTTTACCTACCTACTAAAAGTATGGTTGGTAAACGATAAATATTTTTTTGTGAGTGCTGGAAAACTGTCGGTAAGGGGTTGAATGATTTCTCATGAATGTAACGTATTGACTTACTGAAGGTTAGCGACTACACCGTAGCCCGGAACAAAATATATTGAACATTTACTCGACAAAGATGAAATCGTTGCCACCGAAACGATCGAAATGATTATAAATCTATAGCTAGGAAGTGCCGAACGAGCAAAAACTAAAATATTATTAGTTATTGCTTATTACCATCGGTGCTACATATATATATATATAATATTATAGTAATAGGAATCGTAAATTGCACCAACTGAAACCATACGATGGTAAATAATACATTGCAGGCACAACATGCATTATGCAACCACGGCAGGATAACAATTTATAACAAATGCCATTGATTAATTAAAAACCAAACCGAGGTTGCTTTTATACTTTTTCCAACATAAATTATTATTGAAGTACTTCACCATCGTAATGTTTGACAATCGTAAAGGCATAAAATAATTCGTATTGCAAAAAAAATAAATAAAACGAAGTTTTGAATATATTGAACATCGGATTGTCTCCTCTGCATGTTGACCTGCAACTAACGCCATAAAACCACACCATAGTCCACTGATCTACTCAAAGCCCCAGTCAATATTATAATATTTTTTGATAACCGTTGACATTATGGTAATAATTTTATGCTGTATTAATGTTGTCACCCTTAATGTATGGGTAATATCATTTATCAACACGATAGACGAAATAAAAAACAAAACCTAAAACTTAAAAGGCATGAAAACCAAAACCAAATATGTATATATTGCCTATTAGACATTATTTAGTTCTAACCAAAAAAATATTCAGATCAATATTAGTTTTAGTTTAAATTTTATTTTTCTAAAAATGCATTTAAATAATTAAAACAATGTATAATTTGTGTACCTCACCATTTTTTTTTTTTATACTATGACATATATTAAATATGACCAACTATTTATTTTTTATTTTAATTGTTTTATTTTATTGAACTGACCAARTTTTTATTTTCCCATCTTTTTATTATAAATCATGTGGAATTCAAAAAAAAAATTAAAAAATCTACTTAAAAATTTAATTTTACTTTTATATAGATAATTGTTTTGGGTTTTATGTCCTAGCTGTATTTCATTCATTAACTTCATGATATAATATTATTACGGGTTTACTTGTTATCAGGTCAGTTGATAAATTAATAGATTGATAGTCAATAAATTATTTATAWACATTTTTAATTAGAAAATTAGAACAAAATACTATGTCTAATRAAATATGACAAAATAGAAAAATAAACAAATTTGTTTTTTGTTTTTTTGAGGTTTTATTTCCTTGATTGTATATTCCATAATTGATTAATATGCACCTGCTAATAATAACTGTTATTTTTATTATTGCAAAAAGTACGTTATATCTATATCACAAAAACATCGACCCATTCAGTTATTATACGCAAATATACGCAAATAGATATATCTCTGATGCCACGCAAATACCTATTAAAATAATAATAATATATTATAGTACGCCGATTCACTAAATATCATCATATTATTTATTGACAGTTAAACCGATTACTGAATATTGGAAAATAAATGTTATTTATTCCGTATTTATGAACCAATAATAATTATAGTACTAGCTAAATTATAAATGTGCTCTAAATTGCAATTATACGTCGTTATATAACTGATCAGCGTAGGATTATGTAGATTATGATATTATCGTTAAACCATTCGTTTTACATTTAAAAAAAAAAATGTTTATACCTCCGAAATGTAATTAAATAAATCGTAATTCCTTTGCAACAGAGTGCTCGTATATCATTTAGGACATATTATAGTTATATGTGTGTGGGTTTTTGTGCGCGAGCGCTTACGCACAATTATTGTGATAAGATAAACATTTTTTGATCTATTAATGCGAATGCATCCCGCCACGGACATATTATTTTATAAAGCTTCATTATTACATCTGTATAAATAATCAATTCGTGTACTTTAACTGAAAATTAATATTATACAAGTTTAATRAACTCACCACTGCTGTAGGAACTTGCCCCGTTACAATCTGTTGATTAGCAGCCATAGTCATTTGCTGCATTAATGCATTCTTTAGGGCCAAGTGGTTACGACCATTTATCAACAGCTGGTCCTTGAGATGCTGCGGTGGATGGAAATATTTGCACGGCGGTTTCTCTCGGTTACATCTGCCCTGTAATTCGTTAACATAAATAAATTAAGTATTGAACATTCGCTTATTGTGTTAAACAGAGGTAAACATAATAAATTAAACGGCGTACACAATTAAAATGTGTCTGTTTTATCAAAGAAGGTAGCTAACATAATTTACATGCGTTTAGCAACATATTATGCACGCACGCATGTGACATAGTATTCACACCAAAAATAAGGCACTATTAATGTCTCCGAGTTCACCAGCATCTGTACACAAGCCGCGGCTGTACAACATTTATACATTTTTTTTCCGCAGTAGAGGTATGCGTTCTTGGGTTAGATCACACAGATCAGTGGTGCGTAAGTTTTTTTGACCTACGGCCCCTGAATTTATTGATTTCGACGAAGTGACCTCCTACCAACACTTGTCTACAAAAATTATATACAATATTTTTTCATTTGGAGTTAAATTATTTGGCAACCATAATGTTAAAATTTTGTGACTACCAGGTTGCGCACCAATGACTCAACGTCGTTGTAATCGAGTCAAATATTACTTTTTGTTTGAGAGGAATATACATATTTTATAACGTGTGTGACGTGAATATTTTGAGAGATTTTTTAATGTTATAAAAGTGCTGATTAACTAACGATATTAATATCTCTTAAATAATTAAATGCTTTTGAAAATATGAAATGCATATACCTATTTAATACCTATAGCTACATATTTTAGTTAGTATTAAAGTAAAAGGGTGTAATCACTTTAATCGTTAATTTCTAGCTGTAATAGATTATATACAATAATAAAATGTCTCATAATATTTGGATTCAGTTTTTACCTAAATTTAATGATCTACTACATTGAACCACGCGAATGACGAGAGAGGATACCAATCGGATATTCAGATTGATGTGCGACTATTACTGATGTTTATCATTTTAGTCTTAATTCTTTCGTTACAGGCTTACAACACTGACGCATATTAGTATTATTATATTATTATATTAAACATTTGATTCGACTGATTCGTTATTATTATATTCGAACAAATCAGTTTTTTTGACGAAAACCAATCTAATATGTTTTGTCTTACGAACCAATAAAAATTGTAAAGTTATAAAATATTATTCGTCGACAACAGATTGGCGATATCTATGTGCTAAATTTTTTGCAACATAAATGTGTTGTAAAGTATAAATAGTGGTTTTTTTAAAATCGATGACAAAATGTTTTCTATTCTTTTCCAAAATATCATCTACTTTCAAATTGTTACCCAATAATATTAATGTTTAGATAATCTGTCTAATCTTAGTCTATAATCAGGAATATACTTATACAATATGATAATGTCAGACCAGAGTCGACGTGTTCTAATGGATTTCTACAGAATTTCGAAAAGTACGCAACAAAGAACAACGGTTATGAAACGGAAATACCTGTAAAATATTTTGAGATTCTATTTCTTATTATGAAATTTTGGTGAGATGTATCGTCATTATATTATTGTTATAACAATATAATATGGGAATACCGTCGTAGTAGAATATAATAATAATATTGTACGGCAAGACGTATTATTGTATTTATATTRAAATATCTTATTGCTCATAGCAGCGAGTGATGATGCGGCGTCAACCCATTTTTCTATTTTGCATCAAACACCGCCGTCGTATACTAATGAATAATGATTTCTCGGCACTCTTACAACTTTAATCATCGTGATGATAATATCATAAAGATTTAATATGATATTATATTAGTCCGAGTGCGTGCAGTCTCTATAATAATAATATTTAAACACAAAGTCCTATATAATTATTTAATGCGTATAGGTACCTATAATTATTGTAACTGAACCGCATTGATGATAATATAAAATGATATAATTTTAATTGTTTGTTACGTTGTTTTATGTTATAACTTATAACTTAATGCGTAGTGTTACATCTTACTACTTTATTAGATCAAAAACACGGTTGATTGGTCAAATGGCACAGCAAAGGCTCATCAGATTAAAGGGCTTATGCGCATAAAATGTCATGTACCTACACACACTCTCATAGACGTTATACCTATACATCATATGTATACCCATAGAGTATAGTTAATTAATTTTAAAAAAAGCAAAGAGAAATTCTAACCTAACCTCTAATTTAAGATTTATGATTTATGAGTTGTCATAGTATATTATTAAAGTTTTTCGTGTGCAACAAAATGTTTTGAATTTATTTATGGTTATATCTTTACAAATTATAATATGTGTTTTAATGTCATGAAAAAAAAAATATCTTTATTGTTAAACGTGATGTACCTTGTACCTACCTATAGCCTAAATATTTCATTGGCTAATAATAATAGTGAATAATAATGTACTTTTGTTTTCAAACCTAACTGAATTGTTGTTAGGACGAATGATACAATATCGTTCGTTATCTATCTTATTGACACATGATACGTTTAAAAAGTTTTTAGAATTCTTTTTGTAAAAAAGTTCAGTTCGAGCTCTACCTGCATGGAAATTTCAAGAGTATCAATCTCTCTGGTTCGTCCACAAAAATCATGTATCGTAATAAAACTGATACCCATATTTGTACAAAAAATTTCGTCATACCATACCGTATTAAATAATATATGAATGACGATCGTCGTCATCCATCACCATTACTTTGGCTTAAAGTGCATAATTTAAGCATGTACCTATAATATCATATTGTGTGTAGAACGTTTCTCTAGAAAGTTTGATAACGTTAAATTCGTAACCGTGAATCGATCGGGGGAGAGGAGGCATTGTAATACGTGACCTGCAATGACGCACTGTATTGTAATAATATAACTAATATGCCTACATAATAATATAYATATAYATAATAAAATTAATCTTTGATCGGTGTAGGCTTTCTTATATCTAAGTATACACGTGATCCATGTCACGTATGTATATATTATTGTGAGAGTCGGCAAACATATTCGGACATGTATACTATACACAACTGCAACGATGATAATATTATAATAATATGAGGACTGAGGGGCAATGGCATGAGAAAAAAAATCTGTTGATAAGATTGATACCGCCCGAATGCATTAAGTACCTTAGGTATCTTTGGGTTAAATCGAAAATTAAAAATCAAAATTTTGGCCATGGTAGGTAAGTGTCAATAAAACCATAACCATAATAAAATATTGGTACGTATTATACCAATGAATATTAACGACCTGGCAGTGTTGTAAAGTAGGTGTTCAGTAGGTTGAGTATTATTCGTAGGAGTTCAAATATTTTTTTAGGTATTGAATATAATACATTTAAAAAACCGTCCATTGACAATAGTAGTTGTGTATTTATAAAATAGGTAGGTAGGTATTTTATCATATTAAATACGAGTATTATAGTAAATTTCTCTAAAATTTCGTTTTCCGACTTTTATCAAAATGTTTTATAATTTTTAAAACAAACACATTAAATAGCTCTACTACAATATTTAAAATTGGAATTTTTTAGTACTTATACGAATATATTAAATTGTATAATGTAACCTAACAAAAGAAAATATTTTTTCCAACTCTGTGCGGTCTTTGTCATAAATATATAAGTAATATCATAATATGGGTTATTTTAATTGTATTATTTTCTTATATTTATTGGTAATTAATTAAATCAATTAATAATAAACATATGTGGTCACCTATAAATTATTATTTTCGTAATCTGCAGTTAATCGARCAGAGTCCCTCTGCCAGAGTGCGTTGGTGTTATTGTTATATTGTCGGAATTTATTGCACGGTCGTACGATATGATTTTCTCGTCTTAATTTTAACGGATTATCCTGACAACACTTTTCCAGGAAATTCGCAAGTTCTACAAGTTGTGAATTACACGATTGAAAACTGAACGCTTTGGGTCGTTAATGTTTCTTCCAATAGTTTTTGTGAAGAAAAAAAATTGTTACAAGAGAGCGAGTGAATGTCAAAGAAATATTACATTATCAAGCATTTTTAAAAATATTTTTTGAGTTATTATCTGACTTATATCTACAGCATGATATCGCTATTCGAGTGCAATGATTTATAACCGCTTTCCRTATCATAAGTTCGAGTCCTGTAGGAAACTTAAAATACTTCGTATGAKTATAAACAATATTTTTCTGTTTATACTATAGGTATATTGTAGCCATGCACAAAACGCAAAATGTGAGTACACTCGTTATAATTGTTAATAGTAATACCGTAGGGATTGTAGCACTTTTAATCATAGTGGAAGGTACAAAGGTACCGTATCATAATGTTATATGATTATTTCCAAATCCGAAATTTAGATTATACAATCCAAATAACAGTTAGATTTTAAGAATTCATCAAACACATAAAATTCTATCTRTAACTAAACATATTATAAACGATATTAATACTGTTTGTACCTATACTTAAATTGTGTACGCCTTATACGAAACGCATAATAAATGGATTTGTWGGTACACTCGTTAAAATTGGTAATGGTAATATGGTAATATATATTGTAGTCCGTATACGGTGGAGGGTTTGCTGCACTTTTGAAATATATTCATAGCGGTACTTATTTTGTAATACGAGTATTAAACTATTATTTCGAAATCTAAAATTCAGATTGTACTGTCATGCGACAATATTTTACTATTACCGATTTGTCCATTTACAAATAACTGTGCTTAAATATTAAGAATCCAACAACCACRCCATTTCTCAGTTATTTAAATGATTTTTTTAGTATACGATCTCTGTGTTTCCAWAAACATAAAAGAAAAAAAAAGATTGTATAATCTGCACTTGGKATAATAAACATCAATGATTTTCTATTATCAAGCGTTCCTTGAACATCAAGAATAATTTTATGAATAGTACATGAGCTTTATTCAGCCTGGAAAACAAATAGTGATATGAAATATATAATTTAGTCGTCGGTAGAAGTCCGATTTATTATTAGTTCATAATATATTTATGYAAGCAACTAAATAATATTTTGAAAGAAATTTTTGTCGTCTACTCTTTACGGGACTATG